TCCCTAATTCCCAACCTCCCAAATCCCCACTCCCCCAAATTCCCACTCTCCAAAATTCCCAAATTCCCAAATCCTCAACTCCTAACTTTGCACCTCAAGAAGTCCCCTAAATTCCTAAACTCCTAAATAAACGTTGCAGTCAACTTCCTCATTTCTGTAAATAATTCAAAAAACTTAGTCGCAAGATAAACGACTGCCATTTGTTAACAACTTTCCTCGTTGCTATCATTCCTCGAACTCCTGTATTTGGTTTAACAAAATATCTTTATCGAGCGGCTAGTATGTACGCGCGTTGTGCAAGCATTTCCTTAATATCCTCTAGTAGAATTATCGTGCGATTTACAATTCCTCGTTCAGTGTAAATAGTTCGATTTGAGGGACTTCACCAACGACGAGTTGGCCTCGTGCTATGTTCTTATAAGAAACTTCTTACTAGTCGAAGTGAGGGGAAATCAAGGATTCGTGATGTTTTAATAGCCTATGTGATTCCTCTTGAAAAACGTGACTAATCACAGATGTCTGCTTTGTTTATATAACTGTTCAAAGTACATTAACTTTTGATTAGTATTTTTTTTTTTTTTCAATTTTATTCATTCACGAATTCGAGACATGTTTTTATTGATGTGATTTCTTTGTTGTAAAATAGAATGATTGATGAAGAAATGGAGAATTTTTAATTTAATGAATGGGAAGTTATCAGACAGTTTCTTTTATGAATGATAGAATTAATTCGGTTGTTTAAATATTTAATCTATTAAATATTTAAGCTGCAGCCATTTTGAAACTGTCGAAAGATCAGACAGTTGATTTTTAACAATATTTGTTATTTTTGCAGTACTTATTTCTAATTATATACTGACAGCATACAACTTCTATTTACATACTAATAATTCACTAACAGCGTATAATTTCTAGTAACATTCTAATAATTTACTGACAGCATACAATTTCTAATAACATACTAATAGTCGAAAATAAGGGTTTTGAAGCATCTACCCATAAATTGTCGTTATCAGCAGAAATAAAGATTAAAATTTCATCCAGACTGTAATCGACACTCAGGATCAGTAAAGCAGACTATTATACGCGATGCAAAATAACTATTGAACCTCTCTATCATTAATTATGCAGTAATTCATTATGTTAGAACTCCACAAGTTTTATAAGAAATTGATCACTTTGACCTTCACAAGGCTCAAGTATAATTTCCACGTGTCTCTGTGATGAAAACTGCAAGTTTTTTCGATGTGAAGCACGTAGTATTCAACAAAATGGACGCTAAATATTGAGGTCGAGCTGTTTTTAGATCAAGCTGTTTTTGGGATTGTTGAGATATTTTTAAAACTCAAGAATTTGGAAATCAATTATAATAATTAATAGTATATGAATAATTTGGAAATGTAAAAGTTTAGGAAGTTGGAAATTGGATTTGTTAATAAGTAGGATCTTCTGAATTTATCAATTTAGAAACTTCAAGATATAAGTTTAATCTAAGTATTGATACTAGAAAATCTACATCAAACTTCAACTTTTTCAAAGATACTAAATTTTGTGTTTTACTAAATTTCAAAATACGTAGATGTCTTGTACCTACACAAGTTTCAGATTGATCCTAGACAATGTCCATCAAACTTCTACTTTTTTAAAGATATTAAATTTTGTTTTTTACTAAATTTCAAAATCATAGATGTTTTGTATCTACACAAGTCTGAGATTGGTCCTAGAAAATCTTCCTCAAACTTCAACTTCGAGATTGATCCTAGAAAACCTTCCTCAAACTTCAACTTTTTCAATGATACTAAATTTTGTTTTTTATTAAACTTCAAAATCATAGATGTCTTGTACCTACACAAGTTTGAGATTGATCCTAGACAATGTCCATCAAACTTCAACTTTTTCAAAGATATTAAATTTTGTTTTTTACTAAATTTCAAAATCGTAGATGTCTTGTACCTACATCAGTCTGAGATTGGCCCTAGAAAATCTTCCTCAAACCTCAACTTTTTCAAAGACACTAAATATTGTTTTTTATTAAACTTCAAAATCATAGATGTTTTGTATCTACACAAGTCTGAGATTGATCCTAAAAAATCTTCCTCAAACTTCAACTTTTTCAAAGATATTAAGTTTTGTTTTTTATTAAGTTTCAAAATCATAGATGTTTTGTACCTACACAAGTCTGAGATTGATCCTAGAAAACCTTCCTCAAACTTCAACTTTTTCAATGATACTAAATTTTGTTTTTTATTAAACTTCAAAATCATAGATGTCTTGTACCTACACAAGTCTGAAATTGGTTCTAGAAAATGTTCATTAAACTTCAACTTTTTCAAAGATACTAAATATCAAAAGCATAGTTCTTTTGTACCTACACAAGTCTGAGATTGATCCTAGAAAACCTTCCTCAAACTTCAACTTCGTCAAAGACACTAAATTTTGTTTTTTACTAAATTTCAAAATCATACTTCAAACATGTACAGTTCAATATTTCAAGATCTAATACCTACAAGTCTGAAACTACCATATTATACTATGGTGTTTGAATATCAGTGCAAGTAAAATATTAAATGTCAGAATGAAAGTCGTATCTCTTATTCATCAGCGACGCCGCCATTAATCGAAAGGCAGGCATCCAAACTATTATCGACTTTTACATTCGACTTGCGATGCCACGGCCGATTGTTTTGCTCGTTCGCTAGTCGTTTACCTCGTTTACTTATTTAACTTGCAGGCCTGTAAGTCGGATCGATATTCTTTAGTGCAATGACACATCGATCACGCTTGCATCGTGTCCCCCATTGATCAAGATACGAGATCATTACAATCGTTGTCACGTGTTCAAAATTCGATGCATTAATATTTCATTCGTTCGAAACGTGATTCCCGAAATCAGATCACCCGATATTTATCTTTCGATATTTTCTATCAGTTTTAATTCGATTCTTTGGTATCTTATTTATAGATCGATAACATATGATAACAATATTTTTCTGTGTACAAAATTATTTATAAAATTCGATAATGTCAGAATTTATGTAATCAGTTACACCGTTATGTCATATTTATATAACTCTTGAAAAAGTTTCATATTTTTGTTATTAAAGTTCAATTTTCCACGTTTGAACATGGTAATTATCCTTGAAATTGTATTAAATAGTTAATGGGCCATATAATTATCATAAATGTATCTTTATGTCCATTTTATGGATTTAATAATAGAGTAATGTGCAAAGTGTACTGGATACCATCAAGGAAACATCCTGTCTACAAGAATTTATAAATGTCGACACTTTTCCTTGCAATTAACGCGTGACAACTATGCATTTCAGTAGATGACACGTGTTACTATATTAATACCGAATAACAATGATTAAGCATCGATATTGTCGCGAATTCGTAGAACGCCAGATAATCGATTATCAGTTTTCTGAACGGATCTTGCAATTCGATTCGCAGTTACTCTTTGTTTTTCTATGCGATTATTTATTGATTTATCAGCAAGTATTCTTAATTTCAGTAATATTTAATATTTTATAGCTATTACATTTTGTGAGATTCATTTTAGTCTCCATTTTAACCTTACAGAGTTTGCGCCATTTTGTTGAGGAGAACTTTAAGATGTCGCGAATTTAATTGCTAGTCTAAAATGTTTTATACAGCAAAGAATATATATAAACATACATATAACAAATAAATATATGAACATCTAACAAATATATGCTTAAATATAATAAATAAATGCACATGTATAAAAAATTAAATATATAAATAATAATAAAGAATGTGCAAACAAAACGTACAATAGCGAAGTTGCAAAAGTGTAATGGTACAATTAAACAAACCATTTTTGCGTTCTTGGAGTTATACCATTTTCAAAGATGCTTTTCGGTATTTCATAGTGGTTACGATTCATAAAAATCGGTAGCCATGATTTTCACGATGAAACACGTACGAATGCCACGGTGTTTTTCGTTCGACTGACGATGCGTAGTTTTCCACGTGTCCTACTCAAGCATGATTTTTATTATTTATAGAGAGTATAGCACACTGGCATTTACGTCTTACAGTCACAATGAAGACGGTAGCAAGATTCTGTCAATCAATGTGACGGAACCAATGTTTGATCGTCGTTTAATCGAGTTCATCTCATCGATATCGAACGTTTCGTGCATGCAAATTCAAATTGTTGCGGTTTGAGATATTGGGACTTTTGCGGTTTGGAAATTATGGGATTTGGAAGTGGAGGGAGTTTAGGAAATTTTGGGTTTGGGAGTTGGGAACGGTGGAATTTTGAGGAGGAGGAATTTTGGAAGTTTAGAATTTGGAGGAGTTGGAATTTTGGGGTTTTCAGATTCTGGAGTTTTGGAATTCTGGGGTTTTGGAATTTCAATGCTTTGGAATTCTGGAATTTTAGAATTTGGGGAGGTGGAATTCTGGAATTTTAGAATACGGGGGAGGTGGAATTCTGGAATTTTAGAATTTGGGAGAGGTGGAATTCTGGAGTTCTAGAATTTGGGGGAGTTGGAATTCTGGGACTGTGAGATTCTGGACTTCTGGAATTTTGGAGTTTTGGAATTCGGAATTTTAGAATTTGGGGGAGGTGGAATTCTGGAATTTTAGAATTTTGGGGAGGTGGAATTCTGGGACTGTGAGATTCTGGACTTTTGGAATTTTGGGGTTTTGGAATTCTGCAACTTTAGAATTTGGGAAAGTTGGAATTCTGGGATTATAAGGTTCGGGGCTTATGGTATTTCGGTGCTTTGGAATTCTAGAATTTTAGAATTTGGGGGAGTTGGAATTCTGGGACTGTGAGATTCTGGACTTTTGGAATTCTGGAACTTTGGAATTTTGGGAAGTTGGAATTACAAGACTTTAAGACTCTGAACTTCTAATATTTTGGAGTTTCATAATTCTAGAATATCAGAATTTTAGAAAATTGAAATTCTGGGGCTCTAAGACTTCATACTTTTAAAACTTTGCAATATTAAAATTGTAAAACATTGGGAACTTAAAAAATTGTTGACCTCATCTCACAAAAAATTCAAACAATAGTTCTTTCGATCGTCAGCCTGAAAGGTTGACAAATTCCAATGTATGTCACGCTGAGATCAGCAATTAACTCATTTTACGAGTTGCAATATCGAAATTTGTCAGTCAGTATTCCAATATCTGTTCGTGATCAACATTCTAAAGAAATGGAGAAGAAAGTATTAATTGCTTCGCTTATATTGTTTATCGTATCCCTCGCATCAAGCGGTAATTATAATTACATTTCTCTATAGTTTTCTTACTTGATTTTTATTGGAATCGTTAATTTTAGAGAGGAGTCTGAACACATCGGACCTTAAGTGCAGAGGTCGTGTTTATTATAATGTAACTATGGCTGCGTATTATCCTGTGTTTGACAGTGACAATGAATCTGATTACTTGGATGCTAGAGCTAAGAAACTGAGGACTTTGCAGGTTTGTTTATTAAATGTGATTTAATTAGAAATTTTATTTATTGAACTGGTATCAAAATTTATACGAAACATATTATTTTTAAAGTTCATTACAAAATTGAAATTTTCAACCAATTTTTTATAATTTGTGAATTGTTATTTTACTGATCAGTTATGGTCATTACTGATCAAAATTTGTTTTTATAGGACTTTCTTGATGGACGGAATGAATTCGTGACTGTTTCAATGGATCTCGATTCAGGGATACCATATGGAACAAAAGTGTGCATTCCTGAATTGAATGCAAAATTTCAACGTCGAATTCCTCTTGAGGTATAATAATTAATAACACATGCTCCAAATATTTAATTATCAATCATACACTTAATCACTTAACGTTAGATAAAATTCAATGTCCCTATTATCTAATGAATAGAACGATTCTTTCTAAAAATTGATATAGACATTCGATGCCTAAGTTAAGAAAATTGAATTTCATCTACTAACATGTTCTCTTATTTTCATCTTTTAACATGTTCTCAATATAGCCTTCAAAGTATCTCTAAGTGTCACATATGCACTAATACATTATATTTTTCAGGTCAGGGACAGAAGTCACTATGGGGACGTTAAATCTAAATTACCAGACTTCTCTCACGTTGATATTTGCGTAAGAACTGAAGAGGACACTTACGATCATTCCGTAAATGGCGTCGTGTCGCTTTATGTGTAACCGTATGTTGTACTTATTGAATGTAAACATCTATCAAACCTTACACAATTAGAAAATTACACAATTTTCTATGTCATCACAGTTTGAAATAGAAAATAATTATCAAGTATATATCTTGTACAAAAGTCTCTAAATCCCTTGAAACTCTTTGAGTCACTTTTTGAGTCACATACAAAGTAGACATAAAATTATATACAAAATTTTAGGTTAGTTAACATGATATTGCAAGAGGAGCTAAAACAATTTTATTTTAAATTATCAAACAAGAATAAAATAATTTTATTTAAAGATGTAATTTTGTTATATTATAAAATATAGTTTTGTCATAGAAAATAAGATAAGTGGTTTCAAGGATAAATTCATACTTTTGACAAATGATATTTAAAGTAAAAAAGGATAGAAAAAAATTCTACGTGTTATCTTTGATCTGTTTAGATCTTTGTCGAATTAGTGAAACTTAAAATGAATCACGCAGATACTGATTGATTGATCGTGCGAAATATTGTAAATATAAGCAAAGAACACTTTGGAGAAATTCCGTGGAACCTTTCTTTTCTTATAGAAGCAAGATTTTGCCCTCGAATGGAAAATTTTGACTATATTTTACGTGACACACTTTAATGATAACAGTACATATTTTCAAGGTCCAAAATACTATTTGAACTTTTCCAAATTTTCTCTTATATTTAAACGATTCTCAAACAAATGATTCAATTAAATCTTCTCGATATGATTCTCAACTCTCAGTTTTTCATAAAAAAATTTCCTATTGTAAGTACAGGTTCTTTTATCCTTATTCCAATAAATATTCGGGAATAAAATAATATACTACAGAATAAAATAATTTCCTGCAGAAGCAACAGTAATTTTATTTCAAACAATTGTCAGAAAACTGACATAACAGTACATAATACTTCGTAATACACAATGTACAACAGTTTCAATAAAAAATCAAAGACATTCGAAGATTTTTGGAAATTAAATTACGCAGACGAGGACCAATGAGGCCAACTTTGAATCAGTCTATAGAAGGTGTCACCAGGGCAAGAAGTAGCTTTCGTTTGTCGGTGTCCAAGAAGTTTGTAGTTTGAAGTTATTTTTCCAAGATCCACACCGTATTGTATCAAATTCTTGACAGCACTGATCGCCGCTGAATTCGGATTGCGATCTGAAAATAAATGAATGTTCAGTTACACTCGACGTAAAAGTTAATTGTAATCGATATTGTATTATAGTAATGTGTAGTGAACTTACTCATATAATTGCCCATAACGCAAATTCCTATGCTCTTGGAGTTGTAATTAGGCGCATGTGCACCAACTTTGCCCCATCCTCTTCCTTCGTATACGTTTCCATCTTCTCCCACTAAGAAGTTATAGCCAATGTCGGACCAGTGGTTAGTGTTGATATGTTGATTCTGCGATGCATGAGGAATAATAATGAGGAATGAGGGATAATAATAATTAGATACATAACTGTATTATATTGCAAATATATGAATGTTAGTTTAGTGGAGTGGAGAGTAACATTTTATGAAAAATAAAAATTTGGGGTTTTCAGTCTTAACATGTTGACTTTGCAACATGTGATTGAATTAGTGATTGAATTGACATGTTGATTGAATTAGCTAGAAACAATTTAGGAGAGAAGTAATTTAAGAGATACATAATTGTCATTTGCCCAACAAAATGGAGAAGTGTATGAACATAAGAGTGAGAAGTTTATAGTAAATGAAAGTTTGCCTTTCTACAATTAAATCCTAGAGTACCATCCACGAAAACTTGTACAATTTTACTACTTATTATGAGTGGGAAATTTTTAATAAATAAAAGTTTATCTTTCTATTGTCTTCCTACAATATCACCCACGAAAACTTGTAGATTTTTACTATTTATTATTAGTATTTCATAAAATACAGGAAAGAATACCTGATAATTTTTCACTTGGGTTGAACAAGCAGATTTAGACATGCAAGGAGCACCCGCAGAATGATGAATGATTACGAATGATGGTGTTCTTGTGATAGTAGTTACAGGTTCGTTCGCCGACCTTGCTCCCCATTCTACTCTAGATACTATATTTGGGCGAGCTAAAAAATTGTAAAATCGAAATATTAGTCCTCTTCTATTTCTTTGAGAAAATTGCATCAATGTCTTTTACATAACATTCTTACATTCTAGCACTCTAACTTTGAATACATATAAAGAAGATATATAATGGAGACATTCGTGGAATAAGCATGAAGACTATTATTGGAATAATGTAAAGACTATTTAAATTTAATATAACAAAATATCTAAACTGAATCTTTGACAAAAATTAAAAGTTAATGAGTCGCTAAATTTTAAATTCTTCAGAAATTTACCACCATTTGTGACTAACAACATTACATCAGTATAATAGTTTTAAAAAAGAATAAGGTACTTTACCAAAAACGTGAATATCAGCAGAGACCCCTAGCAGACAAACTGCGGCCACAAGAAGCGTAATTGTTAATTTCACCATGTTCATTGCTTGTAATTAACTGACACCGAAACTTCGATTAGCTCCAATTTATAGTACGGATGTATCTCATTTCTCCATGTTTGATGCGAGAGTGGGGTTCCCCGATTTATTTGAGAGCAATTCGTGTTTACTCTTTAAGTCTTAATAATAATCAAGATATTGACTGATGGTACAATACGATTTTCGTGAAAGATTTCAATTCATCTTTTCATCTTATATCTAGTGGAAAACTTACATCTTCAACCCGTCAAGGTGATAGATCATAGATCTCTTATTTTAGGCGACAAAATTTATTAAGAAATTTTAGTAAAAATATTTTGTTAAACTAAAAGTGTCTTAGGTTCACATGTTATTCTCGATTTATTTATTTTTCTACTTTAGTCCAAATTTTTCAAATTTTCTACTTTTAATTCAAACTTATAAAGGGTGAAACTGTGCCCATCTATTTTACATAAATAAATAATAGATGACTTCAATATTTTAAATAATTATCAAATCGTTTTAATGAGTATATCAAATGTTATCATATTGCTATTAATATCTGGAATTAATCTACAAAAATTTATCGTGTGATCTGCGTTATTTTCGGTTGACACAGGATTATTAATATCTAAGGGTACAAAATTCAACAAGCTATTATTAATTCTCATTACAGTCAACGCAATTAAGGAATCATGTAAAACAATAAGATTCAACAAATTCAATTAGTACCCTCAACACAATTAGTACCCTCAGCACAATTATACAAGATTGCAGGAACAAAATAATAGACAATGATAGGGACAAAAGTAATTTTAATTCAGGTACCAGAATATAGCATCCAACATAAAGTACGATTTATTAAGAAAGAGATACAATGTTGAGAATACAGAAACATTGATAGCTCAAAATAATTTTTAAGTATTTTAATTATGGATTTTCAGTCCAGTTAGGCCAGGTCTTAATCGTTCTGTAGAGACTATCCCCTGGACACAGCGTTTGCTTCAATTGTCGATGTCCAAACAATTTATAGTTTGAACTTATTTTTCCGATGTCCACACCGTGCGATATCAAATTTTTCACTGCGTTTAGGGCCGCTGTATTCGGATCGTGAGCTGTAATTAACATAATTTCAATTACTTTCTATTTCGATAGGAGTCAGTGTACATTTTGAGAAAACTTCAGCAAAAGGAAGTTGAAGGAACTTGAAGTTGATCAGTAGTTCTAATATTAATTTACAAACTATAGTTTTATATTTCATTGTTTTGATTTAATTCAGCTAAAGTTTGACTACATTGTTCGATTTTGAATAATATCCTTGCAGAATTGGTTGGAGTATTTGGTATAAATTATTGGAAATATGAACTCACTCATAAAATTGCCGATTACACAAATTCCAATGCTCTTCGAGTTGTAATTAGCCGTATGTGTTCCAACTTTCCATCCTACTCCTTCGTATATGTTTCCATCTTGTCCGACTATGAAATTATAACCTATGTCGTTCCACTTGTTGTGGTTCATGTGGTAATCCTGCAACGTAATCGTGTAATTAGTTGAAATATTTGAAATTTTTTAACTTTGGAATTTTTGAGATATTGAGTTTTGGGACTTTGGAAGTTTGGGACCAATAGATACTGAAATTTTGAAACTTTGAAACGTTGGAGTTCTAAAATTTTGCGACTGTGGAACTACGAGAGAGTTTTGAAATTTTGAAACTTTGAAGCTTTGACTTTCGAGCTGTTGACCCTTGAAGAACCCCATAGACTCGAGAGTTTGTGGGATTTTTACATTTCTGAATTTTGGAAGTTTAGAACTGTAAAACTTGAGGAACTCAAAACAGAATTGTAGAATTTTTTAATTTTATAACATCAGAAAACCATAAACTATTATAACGTTAGATGGTTCTTAAAAATGTAAGAAATCTAATTCTAGCTTCCTGCATTAAATGTAAACCTAGAGAACCCAAAAAATTTACCTGAAAACTTCTAATTCTGGCTTTGCAAATGGCTTCAGTGGTGCAGCCATCAGTCGCTGAGTGATGAATGACGACGTACGATGGTGTGCTTGGAAAATTATTTGCAGGTTCTTTTGGCGGTTTTGCACCCCAATCTGCTCTCGGTATTATATTTAGCTTAGCTGGAGGAATTCAGAATTGCTTCCCTAAATAACCTTTCTCGATATCCTCTATACGTGTTATCAAAACACGAAAACGTTTTAAGAAAACTATTAAGTACTTAAGAGATTAAAATATTCTCGAGTGTTTTCTTATTTTAGGTTGATATCATTTGTCACACGTTTTTGGCTGTAATCTTAATTGTTTGTGTCACTGATCTTACCGATCTATATTGATACACGAGTGGTGTAAACATTTTTAAGTTTAATTTTAATTTCTTTTGAAAATGGAAAATGTATGCAGCAGACCTTCTAGATCTTGTTTAATAAGAAACAATTCTTTATAAGAAAGAATTTTCTTTAATAAGAAAATTTTTGAATTTCACACTGTGTGCATTTTCATAAAATTCCTGAAATCCTAACCTAAATGTAGGAAACATATTTAATTATGCTTTTAAAATTCATGTGAAATACTGAAGTAATAGTACTTAAAGTAGCAATATGTTAAAAATATTATAATTTACATTAAAAAGGAAATAAGTACTGAGTTCTAATTTTACAAGTAACTTATTTTGTAAAAACATCTTTTGATGCGTCTGATGACAAACATGGCGTCGAGAGAAACGCGTGACAATAAAAATACTTGTCAACAAGAAAATGATTTCCTCTGAATATGTAATTAAAGTAGCATGAATGTGTGGCCGTGAATGATTATGTAAACAGTGTCATCGCACTATCGCGACGGTAATTATCAAGTTTTCAAGTGACTCGATTCAAGAAGTATCCAATCTGGTCAGTGAATCAATCGTTCCAAGAATTTCATGCAAATTAAATCGTCATAGAAAACTCGACGTTCGCAACAAACAAGTACATCCATCAAAAACAAATACAATATTATTTACAATGATCATCTTCAGCGAAATCCGCGTTCTCCATTGGATCGACAAATAGCGAACGCAGGAAAAAAAGAAAACACTGTTCGAAGTTTGCACTATTTTCATAAGCGATTCATGACGTTCGATCACTGGGACAGCTTTTTTTTGAAATACTTATAAGTTTTATTACCAATAGTCTCGATCTGAGCACAAACCACCAGCTGACAGAGTGCCGCTAACAGAAGCGTAATTGCCAATTTCGCCATTTTCGTCGTTCGCAATAAACTGACACTGAAACTTCAAGCAACATTAATATATAGCGTACACGTAACCCATTTCTTGATCTTTGGTCATGAGAGACCAGGCCTGTACGCACTACTTGCGTTCAATTTAGATTCATCTTTGAATCGTTCGAGTTTGAAGTCGTATTGATTGATTTGTGTGATATCGGTTCAAGAGGAAAATCTGTTTCATTATTTTATAAAAGAAGGATTGTATGTTAACAATTTGGGAAAGTGGAAAAATGTGGAGATATAGGATTTTGGGGATATTGGGTTTTTCGTTTGTGTTATTGGGACTTTGGGAATGTGGGGACTTGGGAGGATGAGGATGAGGAGATATGTAGCACTGAGGGATTTGGAGGTTAAGGATTTGAAAATCTGTATTTGGGGATTTAGGTATGTGGGATTTAGGTATATAGGGATTTAGGTATCTGGAGATCTAGATATCTGAGGACTTAGGTATCTGGAGATCTAGATATCTGGGGATTTAGGTGTCTGGGGATATAGGTATCTGGGGATGTAGGTATCTATGGATCTAGGTATCTGTGGATCTAGGTATCCATGGATCTAGGTATCTATGGATCTAGGTATCTGGGAATTTACGTTTCAAGGGAAATAGAGATCCTAATATCTAGAGATCCAGGTATCTAGTGTCCTATTTGGGAATGTAGGTATCTAAGGTTCTAGATATTGATTGATTCTAGGTATCTAAAGTTCTACATATTAGAGAATCCAGAAGAATCTATAAACCTAGGTGCCTCATAGTCTAAATATCCAAAGATCTAAAAATCTAGATATTTAGAAATCTGTATATAGATCACTACACAATAGAGAATTACATCTGAAGATACAAACATCAACAGATCTAACTATCAAAAAATCTAGGAACCAAGATCTAAATTTCAAGGTCTAAAAAATCTAAAGATCTAAGAATCTATGAATCTACAGATAACAAGTTTAAAGATGTAGGGATTATTGACACTCTACATAAATAACATAATAACAAAAGTAAATAAAATAACTTTACATCACAGTGACTTATCAATGTCAAAAGAATTTATTAATTTTAATGAAGGGATCAAGGGATCAAGGGATATTAATTGACGAAGAGTTAAAGAAACATCCTTTATTTTCATTCGATTCACACTTATCTAAATTAGGAACTTTGCGTTGATCATCGGAGATCTTAATCTATTACAAATACTACGATCATTAATAAGCGGATAAATAGCATAATTTATCTACTGACTGGAAATGAGATATCTGCGTAAAAGAATACATACAATGTGCAAGTACATCCGTTTGTTATTAATACGTTGAATGCCCTGGGAATCACTGGTAGTCGCATCTCAAATTTTATGTTACATAATCGAATTATTAGAAGGATCACTTTTGAATCACATTAATACTATACTAATACAATGTACCAGATTATAGTAACATTCTAAGATGACTGACTACACGTGCCGTTTATACTACAGCAAAAACTCGATACATAAGTTGCGGTAAATAAATGATAAAAGAAGAAATTTGTCACAGTGAAAACATACCTGAATTACAATTTTCAAACTCTCCGATCACACTATTATAATATTTGTTATAAACCGGAATTATCGTTGTAATTCCGTCGTGTCCGACACGGAACTATTCTCAATATTTCGCCAGCATCACAATTAGCCTCAGAAGACGCGATAAGTGCAATCACCAAAGCTACATCGATGAAAAACGTGATGCAAAGTTTGTAGACGTTTTATGCTCGGAGGGGGTCATCGGTGACTAGCCATAATCAAATAAGATAATAAATAATCAAACAAAAATTTTATGTAACTCTAACACATGTTCCTTACATAGTATCAAATAGAAAGTTCAAATTGAAAAGCGAAAGATAATTCAGTAATTGTGTTAGTATGCCATACAGCTGTTTTCACTGGGGTATTGACATGTGAACGTACCTTAAGATTATAACAAACCAATGGCGTAATTAGCCTTTGTGGTGCCCTGCGCAAAAATTTTTATATACAAATTTTTTCATTGAACATCTATCGTTAACATCTTTTTTCAAAATCGTGTAATATTACACACGAATGTAAAAATATTTATTACACACACATCTACATAACAGTTCTCATTTACTTCTAACTGTACAACTTAAATTATGAACTGTGTTTCATATAATTTTCCTAACGTTATCAAATTTATGATAACCCTTATTGTTCGTATCCGATTTGTGATAAATCGTCTGACAGGTAAATGATTAACGAGTGTTCATGAGAGCTCGCTCATCTTTCGAAATACACCCGGTATAGTCATTCACGATAGGAATTATTTCCGCTGATTTTGTCACGTTAACTTTCGAATACTTCGGTATAGGCTTTGGTGTCCATCGTGGATGCGTTTGAACGTACTTGTAAAATTCTTCTCCTGGACACACGGTGTCTCTCACTTGTCGGTGTCCTATGACGCGATAATCTTTGTTTATTTTGCCGAGTGACACTCCGTAATCGATAAGGGAATTTAGAGTTCTTAGAGCGGTGTTATCCGGCAGGAAATCTATGTAAAATTTTTAAGTTAATGATTACTGCAAGTATTAATAAATTCAATTTTTACGATGTGAAGTTTGTATATTTTAGTCAGACCTTTTCCTCAGACTGTATTCTATTTTACTCTATTTTTATTTGCTCTATTTACAGGAGTTTTGAGAATTTTTCTTATAATATGAATTTTATACTTTGAGCTATTCAAATCATTGAATATTCAAGTCTTTGAAATATTCAACTCATTTGAACATATCATTTATACTTTGAACTTCATCATTTTTAGTTAAGATTAATTTTACGATCGAATTCGGAATAAAAAATAAATAAATGTAGTAAAATATCCGAAATCATTTAGACAAGTTTTCCAATGTTGAAAGTCACTTCAACATCTTTTTTCACAGTCTGAGACTAGCAACATTAATATGCTAATATTTCAGACACAAAACACCTACCACTGAAATCACCAATGATACATATTCCAATGCTCTGGTTGTTGTATCCCGGTGCGTGTGCCCCAGTGTAATTCCATCCTCGACCCTCGTAAGCGTTTCCATCTTCACCAATAACGAAATTGTAGCCAATGTCAAACCACCCTCTGCCGTCTATGTGCAGATTTTGGTAGTTTCTGACGATCGCGGAGCACGTTTCTTGAGTGTTACAGTAACAAGGGATGCCTCCATGGTGGACCACCACGTATGGAGCTGGTGTTACTTCCATCAATTCGTGACCCATTGCTTTTCTGGCTCCCCATTCTTCTCTACTCACTATCCTAGGCAGCTCTGAATAAAATAAAAAAATATAAATCATTGACATTAGCTTCTGTTAACATCAAGGTAGATGTTTGTTCACGTGTTATAGGCAAACTTAGACATTTAAAAAAAAATTGGAAACACTTGTCGAAGTTATTAGTGCATTATTTTTAATGACAATAAAAATTTGATCGAAAATAAAAATCCTAAAGAGACGAGAGGAACGGAAAAAATATAATAAATATTAAAAATTTAATTTTTATGATACGAAACTTTTCTATGAATATCTCAAAGATTTTTAGAAATGTTCAACCTAGGAATTTAGGTTGAACATTGCTTCCTTGTTACAAATCCTTGCAACGAATTCTAATGCATAATTAATATATGATCATGAATATGCTGGTCATTGCATACGTTTGTTTACAAATTAATTTACAAAAAGATTGATTGAAATACATTACCAACATCCTTTTCGAAGTTAGTCCAACTGATCGGTATGGCGATAGCAATGGTTATAACCGACAGGAGCACAATAGCAGAGTACACGACACAAAAGAAGATCACATGCGACCCCATAATTCTCAGGAACTTGCAATTCGTCGTTAAAAGTATAACTGAACGGGAACGAAGAAAGGACGGCGGCTTTTAAACGAAAAATCGAACGTGACCGGGAAGTCCCTCAGAAACTCACGTTGGGTCTGTTAACCCTCCCCGCTCTTTAGATCGTTGTATTACGAAAACAAGAATAAACCTACTGACGAATTCGCGAGTCGCCAGTCGATAATCTGTTCTGACCCTACAAATATCGTGAATTGAAAAAAAATTATTTGCAATCTGTAACAATGAAAAAGTATTATGAAACACAACGATAACTTGTTTGTATCAAATAAAAATACGTATTAAAACAACAGATACGAGGGATTTCATTCGTGTTTCCTTTTTTCAAGTTTATTCAAAAGATTTGAATTTTTCAAATCACTATCTTGTGACGTAATCGATAGTACGAGTGCTTTCTCCTTGGTGTTTGTAAATGTATTATCAGAAATTCGATGATCATGTACGGGGAACTGCTTTAATCATTCATAGATAAGGATTCAATGGTGAATTGTAGGTAATTAAATGTAGACAATTACGGTTGAGTCGCGATAATATAATTATCGGTTTAGCAAAATGGTCAGTGAAGTTTTTATGTTGTCTTTTGAGTCATTTATCGTAATTCATTACTACCAGTTTGTTTGGTTGTTTTGGGGTCAGATAAAATTTAATTTGAAAACAATTTTTGTACGCTCTGAATGGTCGTTTCTGTGGATGTCTTCGGGCAATGTGAACGATGTGACCTACAAATAAAAATAATTATCATGATGATCATCAAAAAGTTATCGAGACGAACATATACGTTCAAGTCTTCTTTTTATTGTTGTTAACAGATTAGATTAAATAATCTAAATGATAATATCTACCGTAAAGAGCGGCTTTGTGGTGACTTCAAACTTTATAAGTGAAGGTGTTTTCGTTGTTCCAAAGTTTTCCATGACGGAGCCTTTATCAGAAAAAATAATTATTTAACACATCTATTCAAAAAAATTAATTAATATCCAATATTTCAGGGAATTAATTATGTCAATAATATTTAACAGCTATACATTTAAAAACAATGGAATATTTAAAATAAATTATATTTGATCTATTTATTTATTGCACCACCATAAACTATTAAATATTAAACAAAATATTAATCTTAAATTAATCTCAAATTAATATTTATATTGCAATAGAAAAGTAATATTAAAAGTGAATTAAACGCGATCTAGTATTTTGGCGCGAATTTTAAATATGGTGTATCGAGTAATCGATAGAGATCGCTTCAGTACGAATATTGGCTTCAGTAGAGATCTAACTTATCCGTAGTAGTGTTCTTTTCGTTTCATCTTGTCGTAGCGTGAATGTAATTTACAGCGTCAGAATCAAGATGTTCAAATTTGGATTTTCAAAAGACAGCGAAAGAGAAGGTATTTTCGTTTATTTTTAACTAATTAACACAAACGTGTATTGAAAATTCAATTTTGTGGTTATGTTTACTCCGCCTCGCTTCTGCGCAACAGCTATTTTTAGATTTATTATATAAATCTCTCTAATATTCATATAGAATTCGAAGAATTTTATTAGGTTAATTATTTCAGAAAAAGATGATGCTAAAAAATTATCAGTTAATTGGCTACCGGCTTCGGTGATAGAGGTATTGAAATCGGAAATTGAAACCCATTATGAATCAAACGATTACACCGAGAATCTCGTATATCCGGGTTGTAAATTAAAATTGATTCGTTCTGAAAAGGTGTTACAAAATTTAACAGCAGAAAATTGTAGGAATATTATAGAGGCAGAGTTGCGACACTCTGATCTTATTCCAGCTCAATATGAAGGTAGTTCATGCTTATTTGAATGAATGAATTTTATTTAATTAAGGCTCCAATTCTTAATCCACTTGTTTTGTCATTGTTAGCAATAAATCATTTAAACTGTTGTATCAAGGTGGTTTAAAAATCTGGGAATGCAGTTACGATCTCAGTCGTTATATATTTGATAATAATATACAATTCCAAGATAAGGTTGTATTGGATTTAGGATGCGGTGCTGGTATTATTGGTCTTATTGCTCTTTTAAAAAATTCCACTGTTCACTTCCAAGATTATGTTAGTTTCTTTCTTTCACCACACATCATAGACCTTTTGCAAAATTAAGAATACAAATAAATATTATTACAGAATGTAGAAGTAATTAAATCCATAACAGTTCCAAATGTTTTATTAAATTTTGAGGATCGGTTAAGTGTATTAAAGAGGTGTAAGTTCTTTAGTGGTGACTGGGAGTCATTTACAAAATTAGAGTCAGAAAAATATGATCTCATCTTTACCAGTGAAACAATTTATAATCCTGACAATCATAGAAAATTGTATGAGGTTTTCAAACAAAGGTTGAGTCAAAATGGCATTGGGCAAGTATTATTATTAGGTCATGGTTAGGTTTATATAGGAAATGATAATATTATCATATAATATCTTCAGGTATATTGGTGGTAAAAGTTACTATTTTGGTGTTGGGGGAGGAATGAGGCAATTTCAAAATCTTATAAATGAAGATGGTGTTTTTAATACTGAAATAGTATGGAAAAGTCAAGAGGGTAATTAGTCCTATTTGTTATACAGTAAATATATTTTCCTAAGTATTTCAACAACAATTATAAACATATTCTAGGATTGCAAAGAGAAATCTTGAAGATAACAAGGATATAACGGTTGTAGTCTTATCCACCACCTCTTGCTATTATCTGTTCACCTAACAAAGAACCATTGTACATTTACATTTATATAAAATAAATATTTTTAATTTAGCAAATTTTTATGGAGATAGTCTTTCATAAACCCATCCATTATCTCCCTGATGAACGAGTACATTATCAATTTTTTCCTTTGGTTTTGGTCGTCGAAAACGAATTCTATCGTGTAAACGATCGCTTTGACCCTGCCAGAATTCCACAGAATGTGGAACGACGATGTAACCGCCCCTGGAATATTTCTTCGATAATATCAATTTATCATAAAATATTTGTGCAATTTTTAAATTATGGCCGAATTAATTACCACCACTCCGGCCTTTTAACTTGTCCTTCCGGAAACTGGGCTGTTAATTCCCTTTCTTTTACCATGAGCGTTTGTCTGCTTGCTATCACGGTGCTTTGCTTGCTAGCCATGGACCCTATCTGACTAGGATATGGCCGACTGTTAAAATACTGATCCGAATCTTCGGCCGACGTTTTCTTCACTTTGCCCTCAACACGCACCTAACAAAAAAATAACATTGTAACATAAAAAAAAATTAATCAGAAAAAGCTGAAGAATATAAGTAAACGAATGATCTGAAATTCGAATTCTAATATACATCCAAACAATCGATTCAATCTCTCCCTACAGTACCATAAATCGATATCGGTTCTTACGCCTCGTCTCAAAGGTTCCCAGTAAAATGTTAGAGCAGCATTCGGGTTCTCAGCCTAAAATTTCAGTGAATCATTTGTATCGACCGTGATAAATTCATTTTCTCATAAATTCAACAAACTTACTAGTTCGCGACCCTTTCTGCTCTCGTAGTTTGTGTAGAATTTGAACCCATCAGTACCATAACCCTTAAGTAATACTGCTCGAACCGACGGAATTCCATCTCTGTAGAAAGCAATATTTTTATAAATACGTGAATAACAAATACGTTCAGTTTATATTACTTGGTAGCTGTGCCAAGAAACATGGCATTCGCTTCAAAAATTTGCGGCGTTTTACAAGCCTCCTCGAACCATGCTTTGAATTGGCCAATAGGTTCCTTGCTTACGAGATGGTCCTCGGTAAAAGTCTCGCTTTTGTCTTTGTACTTAAGTCTCATACCTGTAAGAACAATTTACAAATATTTAATCGTTAATTAAAATCTAGGGATAGTATAGGGATATTGCGATTTAGAAAAATAATTTACGAAACGATATTTTGAATTGTCTTTGTGTTCCCACGTGTTTGCACGCATTATATTTTACAAAAATGACCGGTGTTAACAATTAAATCAAAATAGTTAACAACGCATTCTCGCGGTAGAATATTACACCTGCTACCACGCCTTGGTGTTCGATAACAGGTGTGCCAATGGTAACTTCAGAAGCACCTTTTGCGCTGAAATTTCATTTGTGTGACTGTTGCAGACACAAAACGTAAGTCTAAATTAAAGAGATCACAGGTGACAATCGTTCTTTGGTTACTGTGTGAAAAATTCGAAAGACGAATGCAAATTAATTTAGAAAAAACAGCACGTGCATATAACCAGTTCTTGGAATTGCGTTGTGGAATGAGTTCTTTATAATTATTATGAAAATATAATTATAAAGTCAACTTTACCTCCGATGTCAATATTGTAGTTTGTCTCTTGGGTGGTAGGTTTTGCGGATAACATTATGCGGTATCCTGTTCGATCGTTTGACAGAGAAACAGCTGATGTTGAATGGAAGGGAGAGATTGAACGTCACTGACACAGAGTGTGAGAATGAGGAAACTCATTTAAACGTAAATTGATAAAAATGAGTATATATAGCACCGTTACTATGCTATAGTGGCGTTATTTGTATAACGCAATTCGTTTGATGTGGTTAGAGGTTATCCCTGTTCCTCTTGCGTGAAAGATGGCGCACAGTGTAGTAAGACGCAACACTTTTGCATCATATTTCTATATATTTAATCACTTTTATTTGATGTATTTGTGCGTTTTTCAGCTATATAATTTGTGCAGAAATTACCTCTCATTCTATTTAAATTTTCATGTACAATTTTATTATTTTAATTAACAATTTCGTATACATTGACGATGTCTGCAAAATTGATGAATTTGAAAGACCTTATTACGCCGTTGCAATACAACACTGTAATGTGATGCGTATCAATAATCTTGAGATATTAATTCACTCTTGCGTAATTTTTCTTTTATATCTAATGTTTTCACTTAATTCATATTCTTCTTTTATAATTTAGTATAATTTTGAAGACGCTGTCCAAAATGTTAAAACATTTAACGACGTTATGAGGTCATTAGTTCTAGAATAATATTTATCACAACATAAGAAATGCAACGATTATTTCGAAATATGATTATCAACAATACGAGAATACAAATTGTTCATAATAAGAACGAAATACTTATATGAGTACTGATAAATTAAAATATGTAAAATATTGTTCATATCTATATACTTATAATTAAAAGAATGTATACAGAATTCTTTTTCATGTTAATTAATGAAACTACTTGGTTCCATGCCATCACATTAGGGTAGTTCATCTAAGGGGTGTTTTAAGACTTCATGCGGCGAAATTAAAAAATTCTGGCAAATCTTATTTTTCCTGATTTCTTTTCTGCAGAAAAAATGACAGCCAAAATATTGCTTTTTCTTTTCAGAATCCACAAATTTTTGCTATCCTTATTTCTTTTGTACAAAACAATCCTAAAGAAACAAGGATCGCCGTAGTTTTCCAGTTTTGCCGTATGAGGTCCTCAGTTCGCCCCACTACACCCTTGGAATAGTTATTAGAAATAAACACAAGTTGTATATGTCATTCGTGTTAAATGTTTATGAAATGAGAATAATGTTTAAATGTAATTGTTATAAGTGAACAAAATGAACGAATTATGTGATTAATATTGTATTCTACATCAAACTATAGTTTTGCTAGGTTAGATCAAATAGTGTAAGATTTGTAAACAATGTTAGACAAGATATTTCGAGATTTTTAATAGGGCGATATAACTCCTATTTTTAATATGGGATTTTTATATGTTTATGTGTATACAGTAATGAAATATTTTAAAAAAGTACAAACAAATAATTTATTTGGAATAATAAAACATACATTTTTATGCAATTCTCTTTAACCAACTGTTCAATTGGTCGATATCAGCAGAAGTGTCGGGGTCTTTGTTAAATGCACTGCACTCTGCAAATTCAATGCTTGTATCTAAGAGGGAAAATTCAAAATCTTTTCCCTGTTTTCCAAGAAAGAAATTTGTTGATGATGCATCTGTAGCCTCTAGTTGACTTGTTTTTGTCATACGTAATAAATTCATTTCTTTTTCTAATAAAGCTTTTATGACAACAGAACCTTTTGCCATAGTTTGATCTTGTTTGTTGCATAAAATAAGCACAGGCTTCTTCTGTATAACAGGATCAGACAATAAATTATATAAAAACCTAAAATCAGAATTCTTATTATTTCTGTTACAGAATGTGATGAAGTATCACTTATGGATACTTACTCTGCTACATCTCGGATGTCCTTTTGGAAAGTCACAGAGTCAATCACATAGACAAGTCCTTTTGCAGATAATTTAAACTGATCAAAATATTTGTAGCGCAAACGTTCATGACCAGGTATATCAACAATCTTCAGGAAGCGCTGAATATTTAACCAAATTTAATGGCCTATGCTTTTGGTATGTAAAGATTTATGTTGTGTCAAAAATATATTCACAAAGACTTACATTATTGACCAGAATATCCCCTACATTTTCTTTTACAGACGTGTGTGTTTTAACAAATTTAGAACACAGTAGGCGTGCATATATCAGTGTTTTACCAGCATCACTGAGACCAGTTAATAGTATACTGTTTCCCACGGATCTTTTCTTGCGCCATATGGCAAACAAAACTGAAGAAAGAAATAAAATGACAATTTATAAACAGCATAGCAATGCCTACATATAAATCATTAGTACCAAAAAGATTGCACTGCAGAGTTGAATGTATGGGTACTGGAATTGTGGCTTGAACAAACTTTCATACAAGAATGCATCTATTTTTGTATTACATATATAATCATAATATTATGTTTGTTTCATTCTTAGTAACAATTTGTATATTGTTTCATAATTACTGCAGATATTATGACATAAATTTATTTTAAATAAACAACACAATGTTTATAGGAGTTTACAAATGGTACTGAGACTGTGTATGAGATTCATAGACATTAAAATGACAAACAATATTTTCAAAAATCTGTATAAGTATATAAGATGTATAAATATGTAAGAATGTCTTTAATTGTCCAAATGATGTCTATAAATCTCAAGTTGTATATACAATTAAATGTGTAATTTATTGGTAATGTTAGCTAAACATATTTTTAGTTTTGCTAAGTACAAAAAGGAACTGTGATGTTATTTTGAATAATGTGATAATAAATAAGCAGAAAATACAATTTGTGGTTTCAATTAGATACTACCACACAGTACTATGAAATTTTTAATACATAAAACATGAAATTACTGACTTGGCATATGTATATAAGCATAAGGGACTTATAACCTATAAGAATTGTATTTGATTACCTAAGGTCAGTATTATCGCAATTACAGCAGCTAATATGCCCATCAATTGTGAATCCACATTGTGACCCGTGAGTCGCTTTACATATTTTTCCATCGTGATAGTTTTCTCCTGTATTTACTTCAGCCACCTCGTGGACATACGTGGATTATATAGAGTCACATCTGTAATTGTATACGTTATACTACCAGTTCCACATGATATCACCATAGACAAACTATAAGAGACATTTTACATTATGAATTTCTGTGTCAGATACTACTATACCGACTGAGATTTGAGGTGAGAATATGAATGAGATGCTTAGTCGGTTCTTCAGATCTTGTTGAGGTGCAATAAGGTAGAAATCGTCTTATTCACTTTGGGTAATACAGGTAGCATTTTCTGTTTGAGTATTTGGTGTTACTAAATGTTAATAGATGTCAGGTTACTGTATATCCACTTCTATCATTTGTAGATCATAAGACTATCATAATTAAAATTTTAGAGGTCTAAGGGAGAGTTTTGGGAGGGTGTAAGAATAATTTAGGGAGAATTTAATGAATGTCTACAGAGAGTTTAAAGCTTAGGTATAATGTGAGAACCTAAGTAAAACTTATGAAGAATTTATGGAGACTCTAAGAACAGTTCAGGTATTAGAACCCTTATGAAAAATTTAAAAACAATTTAAAAATAATTAAAAAGAGGATAGGTAAAATCTAAAGAGCGATGTTGTCACTAAATATTTGGTCCATTTATCAGAAAGGTAGTCGAGTTTCTCACACATGTTTCACTGTGAAGTATACCCATAAGAAAAAGATAACAAATAGCGATAAAGCAGAAGTGATTAGTAAATTCACTTCAGCGCAAATGGTTTTTTCGCCGCAGAAAAAGGAATGTTAAAAACACTGTTGTCACGGTCACGGTTATTCGAATCGTTTTAACGAAGGGTCGTGCGTTTCCATATTCGGTGGACGGCGAAAAAAAGGGTTTTGTGCGAGCAAGTTTCGCCGCTATCAGATCCTTCTGTCGGCAACGTATCCGCGAATTTATTGCTTCGCTTCCTGGCACAGGCGGGAGAGCACGATCTCTCGCCGAGAATTCCCTTTAGGATAGCGCCTTGTCTGTCAATTCCTCGCTATGGTCAAGACACTTGGTTCCCCTCATCGATTATCTGTCCTCCCTCGAGGTTTCCATACAACCAGAACGCTCCTTGGGCCCGCTAACCAGTTCGCGCTCGTGAAATGTTTGGAATCTCTTTTATCTTATCAACTCGAATTCTTTGCTCATTTTGCTCGTATCGGTCTGTGGGAAGAGTAACACATGAGCCTCCCAGAAGTCAAATTCATCAACTTTGCGGTATATCTCTCTTGGTGTTAAATTCCACTGTACTGCACAAATAAATACTATTTTATACATGATCAGTAAAAGTCGATATCTTCTCATAAATAGTGCTATATCTCTCTTGGTGTTAACTTCCATTGTATTGCACAAATAAATACTATTTTATACATGATCAGTAAAAGTCGCTATCTTCTCATAAATGAAGAAATCAGCTCGATAACAAATTACTTAAAAAATTATAATTTTTGTACAGAATATCATAGCAATTTAACAATGGAAAAATTTAGACATGTTTTTTAAACCGCCCCATCAATTTATTCAGATTGTACTAAATTAATTCAATGAACGATCAGTTCGTTTGTCCACAATCATCGTTAATAGCACAATCTGCGGTATCTTGACACGAGACGGACATTAATAGCGTGTCTCGAATGATCTTGATAAATTCGCGAGCATGTTCTTAATTACCTCATGTATCTTTCATTATTAAACGCGTATCAATTATCATCGAGTCGATCGAGTCCTTTGAACGGCGGGCGAGAAGATGATGGGTTCCATTATACAAATGCAGTCTGCTTCTATGCAGACCGTATGTCATCTTCGCAGATTGTACTCCTTAATTAGCGTAATGTTAGATCGTCTCGTCATTTGAGAACCGACCATATATCAGATAACGTCATTTCGGTATGCTTTCTGAAGATGGTATCCTCGTTAGTGCAGTCACTTGCAATATAGATTTATTTCCACTTGATGACTCGAGTGTTCGAATAATAAATTAAAACGATTTGCATGGGAGAAGGAGGAAATTAAAGATGGACGTAGGCAATTTAGGAGATTTAGGAACTTTTGGAGATTTAGAAACTTCAAAGTTATATTATATTTTCAAAGTTATAGATTCCACTGTTCAGTTATCTGTCGCATATTTATCGGTGCATTATTTTATGTTGTAATTATAATATTATAGATTTACTGGAAATTTAATTTACAATTTCAAACACTTAATTTTACCCTTCATAAATTTTCAAATCTTTCATACCGAAGAATTAATTTCAAAATCATAAAACAGTTTACGATTCGTGATCAGAGTCTACAGGAGAACAGCAGCAGCAAAAAACAGCAACTTGATTCACGGAACCAATGACTTAATGAATCGCGTTGCGGAAGGGACTCATCTCTTTAAATCTGCAATCAGTTTCAGTTCTTTATTACGATGTCCTTGGCGGGCGGCTATTAAGTCTCGAAAGATCTTCGATTTCCTCCACGGTGCATGTATACTTTCTCCGTGCTTTGTCCCGTCGCACGTTTACCGATCGAATCAGAGTGAAAGGGGGAAGCAGAGGAGGGGTTGGAGCAAGGGAAGGGTGAAAAAAATCGGGACACGTCGGATCGGGCTACCGTAAAAGCGAACGGGTCGAAGATGGTAGCAGGAGAGCCATCGATAAAATGCACACAATGAGGAAACGGTAAATTCTGACCAAAATCCTTCCAAAAAACTATGATGCATCAAACAGAAAGAATGGAAATTTTGTAACTATTATTTGTGGACAATTTATAATTTTTCTTTTAAAAATTTATAATATTAAAAATTTATAAATTTATAATTTATAAATTTATTTTTAATTAACTTCATAGGATGTTTCAAAATAATATACGAAATGGATGCAGTATTCAGAATGAAGCTAAATTTACTCAAATATGTTCAATTTCAATTTTACAAATGTACACAAGAATAAATTAGTGGATATTGAAATTAAACAGCAGAGTAATGTTTATAATGTTGATCAATGACTAAGGAACCTGTTAATAGAAGTATCCTATTGAAGAACCTATTAACTATTTATTAATAGAAGTAGATTAAAATATGTTGAACAGTTAGGATATTGTATAATTTTCTAATCTTATAAATAGTAAAAATCTATCGTAAAAGAAAATATATATTACAGACCATTCTCTGTTACAGATAAGTTATTTCCGAGTCCCCAGAAGTAAAAAAAGAAGAAAATAGTCGAGCGCCATCTTGCGAAAGGAACATCTCATAAGATGGACGTAGAACCTGTTAACAGAAGTATCTATGTATTAATAGAAGTAGATTAAAATATTCTGAAAAGTTAGTGAATTCTATAATTTTCTAATCTTATAAACAGTAAAAATCAATCGTAAAAGAAAACATATATTACAGATAATTCTCTGTTACAGATAAGTTATTTCCGAATCCCCAGAAGTAAAAAAAGAAGAAAATAGTCGAGCGCCATCTTGCGAAACGAACATCTCGCAAGATGAACGTCGAGTAGTAAGAGAATAAGGGTTCGAAATATCAATAAGACGTCGATAGTGTATCGATAATCGTTTCCGTACGAAATGCGGCTTTTCAGACTACTGTATACGGCAAGGGGTATTCGTGAGAGGGGGTGAGAGCCCGGTCGCGCCGATCGCAGTTTCTTATAGCGCGGTGGGACAGAAAAGATCCGCCGCAAAAAAGGACCGCCCTGGCTGCGTGGACGCGCAGAATCTGCAATTATATCGCAAAAAAGGAGCCGAGTGTCCGGGACAAACTGCTTCCTGGCCCGTAAACAATGCTGCCAAATAAGTCGGCGGGCATAAATCGTTGGTCGTGTTCCCTGGTTGGCTGGCTTTGGCTTGTGCTGTTTGGTCGGCGTGCTCGCGCGAGCAGCTTCCCAATCGCACGATAAAAAGCCAATCGATCGCTAAACTCTTTATTCCGCCGCTGAAAAGCTCGGCCGAACGAAACCGGGAGGATGGGTCCTTCAGTTCAGGGAGATTCGGATTTACGAGTTCGGATATTGCGATATAAAGTTTCTTATTTCGACTGCGTCCGATGGATGTTGATATATCGATTTAATCGACCTCGTAAGTAATGTTGATCATACAGGTCGATTTTTAATGGAACTTTTCAAAATTTATTTGCTTCTTCCTCTCTTTACAAATCATTCGTCGTGTAAGGGATTAAATGATTTAAGGGTGATTTATAGAAGTCAGTGAGTTATGTTACGTATGTTACCTTGTTGCGAGTTTAAAGAAATTCGATGGTTTTTAAAAAATGCAACGTGTAGGGAACTCAATGCGTAGAGAATTCGACACGTGGGGAACTCAACGCGTAGAGAATACTACGCGTGGGGAACTTAACGCTTAGGGAACTCGACGCGTAGAGAATACCACGCGTGGGGAATTCAACGAGTAGGGAATACAGTGCGTGGGGAACTCAACGCGTGGGAAACTCGACGCGTAGATAACTCAACGCGTAGGGAACTCGACGCGTGGAGAATACCACGCGTGGGGAACTCAACGCGTGGGGAACTCAATGCGTAGAGAATACAGTGCGCGGAGAACTCAACGCGTAGGCAACTCGACGCGTGGAGAATACCACGCGTGGGGAACTCAACGCGTGGGGAACTCAATGCGTAGAGAATACAGTGCGCGGAGAACTCAACGCGTAGGGAACTCGACGCGTGGAGAATACCACGCGTGGGGAACTCAACGCGTAGGGAACTCGACGCATAGAGAATAGAGCGCGTAGGGAACTCAATGCGTAGAGAATACCACGCGTGGAGAACTCAACGCGTAGAGAATACAACGCATGGGGAACTCAACGCGTAGAGAATACCATGCGTGGGGAATTCAACGCGTAGAGAATACAACGCGTGGGGAACTCGACGCGTAGATAATTCAACGCGTAGAGAATACAGTGCGTGGAGAACTCAACGCGTAGGGAACTCGACGCGTGGAGAATACAACACGTGGGGAACTCGACGCGTAGAGAACTCGATAAAACTTTTCTCCACAAAATGATATCCTATTTAAGCATCTCGTCTTGCACTACATAAAAAATATAAGAAATAGTTCATTATATAAATATCAGCACATATCCCCAACGGAAGAAACAAGCAAATAAAATGTTACGCCACTTCGAATATAAAAGTCATAAGTGATTAACAAGAGTTGATCAGGCTCCGTAACTATAAAATATAAATTTGTATCGGCAAGCACTTAATCAAGCATAATGAAAATTGCCATGGAAAAAGGAAATGAAAAGTTTAAATTGAGAGCTCGACTGCTCGTAATGGCTGTCGACGTGAACTTTTATTGGGGATCGATTTTCGCGTCTGGACAATTATCGGTCGATTCGCCGAATCGGGATACAGACATAAAATTTTTATGAGCCCCGACCGAGGCGTTTAATGTCGACGATCAGACTTCGGAATACTTAATTCATGACGTCGACATATTTTGTTGGGTGTCTTGAAATGCGAAACTGGAAAAGAATATAATTGGATCTGTTGTTGTCGAACTTCCCCCAAAGCTGCCACATAAAATTATAACCAAAGGGTTGGAATGACATTCGTCTTAAACGAGTGCGTTATATTAAAAATATTTTTACAATATATTATGAAACTTCTATATCAAATATGAACAAGTAAATTTCATGATTAATAAAATCAAGAGCGTTGCCTATTCTATTGTTTTTTTTTTTAAATAAATTTTTGTAGTAGAAAATATTCTTGAATGTATTTTCATTTTATCCTTGAATGTTTCTAAAAACTGAAAAAGATGTGTTACCAAAAAATGAAGACAATCAGATTTACAATCATGTCCCTCGTTAAATTTCCAACACCCCCATCTCCAAAAAATTTCGAGCTCATCCTATCAAGCCTCAGAGCGGGTTCCGGCAAAGGTCGAGGCAACGACGAAATCCTATTAACTCCGTTCAACTTTCAACGATCATAAATTAACGTTTTATCCCGTGGACCGATACACACGGTGCGCGAGAAACAGGCGTGAGATTATTTTAATGCTCGCTCGATTGAAATATACGTTCGATAGGCGATTCCTCTCGGAGGGTCTCGATAAACGAGGAACCTAATTAATCCGAGCGTATCGCGAGAGTCTCGGTAACGCGAATTCGAGTCAAGATTTGAACCCATCCGCCCTCTGCGCCGGTAAAAGCGGTGGCCGCGTTAACGCTCCGCTCGTAATTATAATGGTGCGGTTAATCTGATGGGATTAATTTTGTTCCTGGGGCAGAGTCGAGACCTCTTTCTCGATTATCAGGCGCCTGATGCTCGCACCTGGTTAACGCGCTAATGAATTCCCAGCATCGCGTAATTATGGGTTAAAGCGCGAAATCTCGCGCGAGCAACTTAAGTTTCGCTTCTCACCTTACGGTATTTCTCTTTAACTTCTTTGTTGTTCTTTTTGGTGCGTTTGTACGTTGTTCTCTTTTGGTGCTCGCAATGGCGTAAGTAGGTTGGAATTAGATTCATGGGTTTGTGGAATGCAGTTAGGTGTGATGAAGTAGGGAGTAAGTGCGGGGGGAATGTGGTGCGTGGCGGATTTAACGCGTAGGGAATATGTTATGTAGGAGATACTACGTGGAAGAAATGCAACGCGTAGGGAACTTAATGCGTAGAGAATTCGACACGTAGGGAACTCAACGCGTAGAGAATACCACGCGTGGGGAACTCAACGTGTAGGGAACTCGACGCGTAGAGAATGCAGCGCGTAGGGAACTCAACGCGTAGAGAATACCACGCGTGGGGAACTCAACGCGTAGAGAATACAGCGCGTAGGGAACTCAACGCTTAGAGAATACCACGCGTGAGGAACTCAACGCGTAGAGAATACCATGCGTAGAGAATACAACGCGTGGGGAACTCAATGCGTAGAGAATACCACGCGTGGAGAACTCAACGCGTAGAGAATACAATGCGTGGGGAACTCAACGTGTAGAGAATACAGCGCGTAGGGAACTCAACGCTTAGAGAATACCACGCGTGGGGAACTCAACGCGTAGAGAATACCATGCGTAGAGAATACAACGCGTGGGGAACTCAATGCGTAGAGAATACCACGCGTGGAGAACTCAACGCGTAGAGAATACAGTGCGTGGAGAACTCAACGCGTAGGGAACTCGACACGTGGAGAATACAACGCGTAGAGAACTCGACGCGTAGAGAATACAAGTGCGTGGAGAACTCAACGCTTAGGGAACTCGACGCGTGGAGAATACAACGCGTGGGGAACTCAACGCGCAGAGAATATAACGCGTAAGGAACTCAACGCGTAGGAAATACTACGCGTAGAGAACTCAACGCATAGAGAATTCAACGCATGGGAAACTCAACGCATAGAGAAAACATCGCTCGGAAATTCAACGCACAGAAAATCCAGCGCAAGATATTTGGCACGTGGGTACATAACGCATCGAGTATTTAGCGCGCCGTGTATTTAACGCATCAGGTATTTAACGCGTGAGATATTTGACGCGTTATATTTAGCGCGTCGAGTATTTAGCACCGCTGATATTTAACGCGTCCGATAACTCACAGATATCTGGCACGTGAGACATCACGCTGAGTATTTTACTCCTCCAATATTTAACGTGTCGAGTGTTTTACGCGTCGAATATTTAACGCGTCAAGCATTTAATGCATCGCATATGAAATACGTGGCAATCTAACGCATTCGATAGCAAATAGCAATAATCATGTAATTTATCGCGTGGCTATATAGCGCGTGAAGATCTAAACCCTCTCCCTACCCAAAATAAAAGTCCTAGTTACGCCACTGCCTATAAGCTCCTTTTTACTCCTTCTGTTTTGGCTGAGAAATAATTACACCGGCAGCGAACCGATATCCGGTTACGACTTGACACGAGCTCGTTCCTCCGCGCACGGGTTATCATAAATTATTGGTCAGCAGAAGGAATTCCTTTCTGCAATCGAACTTTACGATCGGGCTGCATCGCGCCGCTTATTGAGACGCTGCTTTGGCAAACGTTAACAAGGATGCAATGAAACGAGCGGACCTGCTCAGAGGCCGCCTGTTAAACGGTTTTTTGCAAGCCCATACGGGAGAAGGTACTACGGGGTTAATTAAGGGTTCTTTTTCTAAGGGCGTTTTGTTTGGCCAGTTTGCGCCAGAGTTTTCGTGGCTCCGATGAATCTTGCGATAAGTAGAGTGTTTATGCAAATAAATGTTATTTGTGGTACCTGTTGCTCTTCCAGTGAAACATGATCATTTTCTTTTAGACATTAAATGAAAAATTGAATGAAAAGTTCAATTGATCAAAAATGTTTATCGCTTGATTGAAGTTATAGGTTAACTTTGAGAAATGATGTTGTAATTGTTTGTTGTTTTTTGCAAGGATTTTATGTCAAGAATATATTTCGGATTTTGCAAAGATTTTATGTTAAGAATATATATATTTACAGTATGTAAAAAGAAAAATATTGATATACACAAGAGCAGTTGAATGATAATTACAATTCCTCGTGTCAGTCGATCTACAATAGTAAAGTCTCGTTAAATGACCGCCCGGTAAGAGACCATCCCTACCATTCGCTGGAAATGATTGCTTATTTGTACACGACAGATATTACACGTATATTAAATTCATCTTCACGAGTTCTCACGTTGATTTTAAAACATTCTACATAAAATATTGCAATAATAAATTTCCGATGAATTCGTTCCCTATTAAAACCCGCTCTCCCGTCGACAACTTAATAAACATTATTCATAAATTTTTAGCAGGTGAACGTAAAGCGATACGTCGTCCCAAAAGAAAACATAAACGACCTGAACGATGACGAGGTAAGAACTTACTGAAAGTCGCGAACACCGGACATCGTTTTTGAAAGATTGAAGAATCGAAGTATAATCAGTTACACGTCATTTTGCCAGGTAATTTCTCTCGATTCCATCGTGCAGCGGTCGTTAAAAAGTAACAGGAGGGCGTGGAACGGAATCGCGGTTAATGGTCGATTTACGCGCGATAAAGTCGTACACCGGAGAGGGCAGCTTCGATATATATTAAAGCGCGATCCGTTTAGTGGCAATTACAGGCTAATTCGCGCCTTCGTAAATCAGACGTTGATTCGCGGATCTGTGCCACCCTTTTTCACCGACGTCCTACGTGACCGGTTTTGATGAGATATTACAAAGATACACCCTAGCTGTTCTCGGTTACTTTATCTGATTAACGACGTATTTCCATCTTCGAGAGATGTATTACCCCTGGAAATCTTATCAATTTAGATTAACACGTTTGCTACCCACTTGCATTTATTAAATAGGTTATAGGTTCTTTTCATGGAGGTTATACGTCCATTACTGTTTTTCGTAGTAAACCCAAGATTATAGTGGTATATTCCATTTTTGGAATTTGGGAACTTGGAGATGTGGTTTGGGAATTTGGGGATGTAGAGTTATGGAGGTTTAAGTGTGTGGCAAGTTGGGGATGTGAGGATTTGAGGATGTTACAATTTGGGGATGTGAAGGTTTAAGGATGTAACAAGTTAGAGATGTGAAGATTTGAGGATGTGACAATTTGGAGATGTGGAGGTTTAAGGATATGACAAGTTGGGGATGTGAGGATCTGAGGATGTGACAACTTGTGGGTGTAGGTATTTAGGATTTTAAAGATCTGAAGATGTGAGGATTTGGAAATGTGAGAATATGGAGATGTGAGGATCTGAGGATGTGAGGATTTGAAGATGTGTGGATCTGAGGATGTGTTGATCTGAGGATGTGAGGATTTGACGATGTGAGGATCTGGGGATGTGAGGATATGGGGGTGTGAGGACCTGAGGATGTGAGGATCTGGGGATGTGAGGACCTGAGGATGTGAGGATCTGGGGATGTGAGGATATGGGGGTGTGAGGATCTGAGGATGTGACAACTTGGGGATGTGGGTATTTAGGTTTGTGAAGATTTGAGGATGTGAGGATTTGGAGATGTGAGAATATGGAGATGTGAGGATCTGAGAATGTGAGGATTTGAGGATGTGTGGATCTGAGGATGTGAGGATCTGAGGATGTGAGAATCTGGGGATGTGAAAGTTCAGACATGTGGACATTTAGCATAATGTGGATTTGGGGATATGGAAATTTGGGATAGTGTGGACTTGATCAAGTGAGTATCCAAAGACGTGAGGATTCAAAGATTTGAAGAACTGTGTAATTAAGGAATTACACATATGTCTATATAAGGTTTACGCAATCTAAAAATGTGATTTAAGAATTTATAAATATAGCCATCTGATTATACAGATAAGTATAGAGATTGAAATTAGAAATTTAAGAATGTCCACATACGAAAACCAGTGAATTTCAAAACTTATCAAATATTATCAATACTCTCATATTCCTATCCTCATCTTGCTCCTAACTCAAATTCTAACTCCCCAACTCACATTTCAAGCTAAAGTACTTGAATTTTCCTTTCATCCATCCCCAAAACCCCCCACTCCTCTACCCGACATAAAGAGTCAACTTTGTAACAGAACCGATCATAAAAATGTCGTTCCATATCCTTCCTCTTATACAACCAACGAGCATAAATCTCCCGTCTGGATGAATGCAACCGGCAGGGCATAACCGCCTAACAGGGCCCCATGAGAACAAAGTCTGGCCATTAAAATCGTTCTCTCCTCGACAAAGTAGCTTTTGCGAGATCTTTCGCGGACATTGATGCTAGGACCGCTAATAAAATGTTACAAATTCGTTGCACGGAGGGTAGTTTATGGCGCGTGTGAGGCCTTCATCGAATGAATCCGGCTTTTGCCGGCTCTTTATAACCTCCAAGGGTTTATTCCTCCGTTTTGTGGTCTCTGCTCTAACGACGCTCTTTGCTGTTACGTGTGGATTAAATCGATTTAATTCGTCGAGATGAATCGGGATTCATGGCAGGTTAAGCTTTTACTGGCTCGTACGTGACCGATGTGTTTTGTTGCGAGTGTTACAAAATGAACGGTGATGCAAGAAGATTACACTTTTAAGTAAATTGCATTTTTGTAGATTGGGTAAATCTTTGGGATTTGATAAATGATTGATTATGGGTTTTTGAAATTCCCACGTTTCCAAATTCCCACGTTTCCAAATTTCCACGCTCCCCAATTTCCTAAATTCCCAAATTTCCACGTTTCCAAATTTCCACGTTCCCAAATTCCCACGTCCTCAAATCCCTAATTCCCCAAATTCTCACATCCCCAAATTCTCATGTCCCAAATTCCCACGTTTCCAAATTCCCACGTTCCCAAATTTCCACGTTTCCAAATTCCCACGTTCCCAAATTTCTAAATCCCCAAATTCCTACGTCCCCAAATCCCTAAATCCCCAAATTCCCAAGTCCCCAAATCCCTAATTTTCCAAATTCCCACGTCCCCAAATCCCTAATTCCCCAAATTCCCACGTCCCCAAATCCCTAATTCCCCAAATTCCCAAGTCCCCAAATCCCTAATTCCCCAAATTCCCATGTCCCCAAATTCCCACGTTTCCAAATTTCCACGCTCCCCAATTTCCTAAATTCCCAAATTCCCACATCCCCAAATCCCTAATTCCCCAAATTCCCACGTCCCCAAATCCCTAATTCTCCAAATTCCCATGTCCCCAAATTCCTGTAATTTATTTCGTTCAATAGTTATTAATCTAGGACAAGAAATATATAATTATATAAGATTGGATCCTTGTTCTAACCTCAAATAGATATTGAAGATACTCAGTAGCAGTAGACACTCAGAAGTTTCAAAACTTCCAACTTGCAACTTTCCACATTTTAATTTTGAAAACATCCCCACAAAATTTTATATTAATTCGAGCTAAACTGCCGAAGTTACAAGAGTTTTAAACGTGCTCCAAGCATGCTCGCAGTAAATGTACTTTTTATCAAAGCATCTCTAAAAACACTGAATCGATTAACTTCAAACTTTGCAAGCTTGTTTCACAGATAAAAATCAAGCCTTTCACCTGCAGTTTTTGCTCATTTTGCTTAATTTGCCTTTTCTAGAAAAACTTTAATTAGCAGTTGAAACTTTTCTTCACTGATATCTTATCAGCGTTAAAAAAAGACAGATAACGTGTTTTTAAATGAAACGATTTCTGGTCGGAGAATCATGAAAACGTATCAGTCTCATCGTTTAAGGTTGTTTCGCTAAGCGGAAGGATTTCACTCAACCACTATAGAGGGTCATATATTTCGACAGTTATGGCGGTTCTTAACGATCTGGGATTAATTTTTATTGCGGCGTCTCAAAATGAAACCCCTAAGTCTGCAGGACGAAGAATCTCGAGCTGCTTTATACGTTCCCATAGAATACATCGTCAACGTTTTCATGTAGCTTTTTATCGTACGTTTTAATGTTCGACAATGAAAACTGTATAGGGTGATTTTGAAATAAATGACAAATTTAATGTTTTCAGCTTCTTTAGTTACTTTCAATTCTCCTAATCATAATCATATTTTAATCAAAATTTTACTGAGAGTATATACTCATCACTTTCGAGCTCATTATTCAATTCAAAATGGATTATTTTCATTTCTAGGAATTATTAATTTAGGAGCAGGGACCATAAGAGGGTTTTCCGTTAGACACTTTAACATTATTCTATAAATTATTCAATATTACCTTCAGTAAGAATAACAATCAACTTTATTTAAAAGGATCAAATTAATTTAAAAGTTAAAAATATCAGAAGGCGGCTATTTAGCGAGCGGTCGATTAGACAGCGGACCGTCAGTAAGGGTGCAATTAATAAGCAGATCAGAAAGTGGATTAATTCAGCAGGAAAATTCTACGTCGCCATTTTTTCAGAGGAAAACCAGATTTCCTAAGTGTACATAATACCTCAAGGGTTGATACAAAAGGCAGGTGATGCTTTTCGTGAGAAAGTTCACGTAACGTCGATCTTCCGAAGCATCTTCCGCAGGTGGTGCGTGAGTCTAACCTCCCCTTTATTTCACCAAGAAACGCAACGAACCCTTAAGAAACCCCAATCTCCTTTCTCGCGAGGAATCCAGATTTCTGGAAATTCTATATCATCTCGTCAATGCCGCTTTGTCGTGTACGGAGTGACACGGGGACCACGTATGGACGCCATTGTCGAGTTTCGAAAGGATTTTCCCCCTTTCTTGATCGGATCCTAAATAGGGTTGGGAAGTTGAGCTCCTTGTTCCCGATTATTTGGAAATATTGATCCGTTGTTTGATCTTGATCGGTCTAAATATTGATTGCCTTTGATCGGGTTAAAAATTGGTACCCTTAGATCGGATTTCGGGGTTGTAATTAGCAAATGAAATACGGATTTTACGTTCTATTATTTGATTACTCATTAGTGTAGTTACTCATTAGATATTGTGTAAATAATCATATTTAAAAGGAACTTATATTTAATAAATTGAATTATACATTATGTTATAACAAGTAGTACTATAAAATGTGACAGGAGGTCTCATGACGATTTGACTAATTGAACCACTGTCTAATTCATTAAATTGAGCATTAAAAGCTTGAAGAAAGAAACAAAAATAAATTTAGAAAACACAATTCAGAAAAACATTTAAAAATTTGATTTGTTGGAAATAAAAAAGTATAACTTTGCTCAGGAGACCAAAATTTATTTCAAGAAAGAAAAGTTAGAAAAATCATAAACGTATCTACGTGAAATCAGTTTGAAATCACAAAAATAAAACATGAATCGTTCGAACAGCTTTTACCACAGAAACTTTGCTATATTCCATATAAAAATGACCGTAATTTTTACGAAGTTCATTGTTGGCGATCGAACGTGGACGCGAGATCAACTTTTTTTTACATTTTTACGGTCGAGGGACTCGTTTCGCTATCCCTTTCCGCCCCCGCAATTCTCGTCTAACATAAACCCCCAATTTTCGCACAATGGAGCGTCTCGAGAGTCCTTATAAAAATTCGGGATACAATGAGGCTTTTGTCCACGGACTTATCCCATCCGTTCGATTGAACCGGACAATTTTTTTTTCTTTCCCTCGACGACCCCTATACGGTGCACCGATTTCTCGTAAAACGTCCGAAAATCGGACACACTCGTGAAGAGGTTAAACCTTTTGTGAGCGAATCATCGTAGCAGCCATTCACCGGAACTTTTTTTCACCTTTCATGTACTACCCCGTTTTTGTGATACCGACGGTGAAAAAGAGGAAACGTTAGTGCGGGTGGAGAAAAGAGTTTTATCTACAGTTGCAGGTGGGAGAACAATTTTTGAAATTATTCAACAAGTTTTAATTTTGTTGGAGAATTTCCAGATCTTCAAACTCTGCTCAGTAAGATTCATTGATATGTGGAAGACTATACATATATGGTTGATATGTGGGAGACTATATGTATATGGTTGATATGTGGAAGACTATATGTATATGATTGATATGTGGAGGATAATTAATCAGTATGATGATAAATTATGACAACCGTCAAAAAAAGATTATGACAACCATATTTGGGACATCCTAAAAGCACTAAACATTGATGTCTTCAAATTTTTATGTCGCCAAAGTGGTCCTCAAGACTCCCAGATTCTAATACCACAACTCCTCTAAATTCCTAGTTTGCCATACTCCAAGATCCACATCCGAAAGTCCTAAGATTCAAAGGTTTCCAAATACAAATTTTCCAAAATTTCAAGCTTCCCAAATTTCTACATTCATAAACTATGTCTACAAATATCTAAGTAGCAAGATGTCACCGTCCCTAAATTTTGAGGCCCAAATCTGTAGGTCCACTATCTCGGTACATTGAAGATCTTTGCACCAAATGTCTACATCCTTGAATCCTTAGCTTCTCA